TACTCTAAGGCGTCAATATCGCCTTGATAGACCGAATCTTACATTGGCGGCCGATGGGTTCGATGTAGGCGTAGAAGCGCGCGAGTGTATCGGCGGCATCGTTCTTGTGTCTAAGGTGCTCTTCGTATTCGAGGCCGGAAGTGCGTTCGTGGTAGCGTATGGTTTAGGAGTGGCCACCGTAGCCTTCCTCGAACTTGCCCTCTAAGTCAGCTTGCCACTCTTGGCCGATGTCAGGCTTGCGGCGTGGCTTGTTGCTTGTGGCTTTCTTATGGAGCTTGCCTCGTGCGCAGGAAATACACGTAGATGATGGATTGCCGGTGTGAAGTAGGGATATGTCAATAGCGGTTTGCAATAGCGGTTTGTAGTTGGTTAGGGATGGGGACAACATAGCGGGTGAGGCCAAAGACTTCGACGCCGGTGTAGAGTCAGGGCGGGCTGGTGACAAATTCTTGCGTGCCGCCGGAAGTTCATCGGATAAATGTGTTTGGTGAGGACGGGATGATTTCGACGTGGGATTGTAGACGGGTCATGAGTTGAGACTACCAGGTGGCGCGCGGCTTGACAGGGAAGACTAAGACGACGCAACCGCCCTCCTTGCCCATCTTTCGGCAGCTTTGGGGACAGCCTTTCCATGGGGTTGCCGTAAAGTTTTTGGGTAGGTTGGTTCCAGTTATGTTTATATGCGTCGTGGTACGGGGTCTCCCTGTCTGCGTAGTCGGCTGTGCAGTTAGTGGGCACTTGTTTGTTTTGCTTAGATGCGAATACCATGGCTGAGCATATCTTCCGTTGTCGACGTTGTGCTTGCGTCTGATTGGAAAACGCCATTCTCGAGTTGGCGGAATGTGCTGCTGTTTGTAGCGTCTGGCGGTGTGATAGCCGTTGTATTTTTGTTGTCGTCCCAGACAAATAATTCATCTTCGAATATATCTCGGCTTTGTATTATACGCTTGGTCAGAGGTGACAATATACGATACGAGTCCGGTGTTGTGTCCAAGGGCTGCGCAAGGAGAATGCCATCTAGTACTCTGTCGTCGAGTTTGCCGTCTGGATCACGGTGCTCGTATGCGATGTGACA